ACCACTGAGTGACCCTGACCACTGACCACTCACCTGAGTGACCACTGAGTGAGCACTGAATGACCACTCACCTGAGTGACCCTGAGTGACCAGTGAGTGCCCACCGAGTGACCACTGACCACTCACCTGAGTGACACTGAGTGACCACTGAGTGACCACTCACCTGAGTTACCCTGAGTGACCAGTGAGTGCCCACCGAGTGTCCACTCCCCAGAGTGACCGCTCCGAGTGACCGCTGAGTGACCACAGAGTGACCCCTGAGTGACCACTGAGTGTCCACTCACCTGAGTGCCCACTGACCACGGAGTGCCCACCGACTGTCCACTCCCCGGAGTGACCGCTCCGAGTGCCCCCTGAGTGACCACTGACCACCAAGTGCCCACTCACCTGTGCCCACTCACCTGAGTGACCACCGAGTGCCCAGCGAGTGTCCACTCCCCGGAGTGACCGCTCCGAGTGCCCCCTGAGTGACCACTGACCACCAAGTGCCCACTCACCTGTGCCCACTCACCTGAGTGACCACCGAGTGCCCAGCGAGTGTCCACTCCCCGGAGTGACCGCTCCGAGTGCCCGCTGAGTGACCGCGGCAGCTGCCGCCCCTCCCCCACCCCCACAAACCCCGGGGGGGGGAGGGGCGAGAGAAATTTGGGGCCCAAACCCCCAAAATTCAACATTTCGGCCCCGTTTGGGGCCTTTTAACCGAATTTCGGAGTTTTTAATCCAAATTCTGAAGGTTTGAAAATCAAATTTTAAGTTTTTAATCGAATTTTAGGTTTTTAATCCAATTCTGAGGAGGTTTAAATCCAATTTTGGGGTTTTTTTTTGAATCGAATTTCGGGGAGTTAAATAAAATTCGGGTTTTTTTTTAATGGAATTTTGGGGTTTTTAAACAAATTTTGGGGGTTTAGGAGACAAAAATCCATTTTTTTCCCCATTTTGGGGGAGGTTTTTCCTCAGTTTCGGGGATTTTTCCTCAGTTTCGGGGATTTTTCCTCAGTTTTGGGGATTTTTCCTCAGTTTTGGGGATTTTTCCCTGTTTTTGGGGATTTTTCCCCGTTTTTTGGGAGATTTCCCCAATTTTCGGGGATGTTTTTTCCCCGTTTTTTTTGAGGTTTTTCCCATTTTTTGGAGATTTTCCCCCATTTTTTAGGGGGTGAAAATGGGGGGAGGGGCTCCTCCCGGGGGAGGGGCGGCCTCATTTTGGGGGAGGGGTCCCCAAATTTGTGATTTTTTTAATATTTTTGGGGGTGGGGGAGGGGCGGAAATCGGACCCCGGGAGCTAAAAATAACCCCGG